TATAAACTATTATATATGTAGGGATGGTCAAGTCTCGAAATTTCGGGAAATTTTCGGGAAATTTTAAATCTCGTTACACGAGACGAGATTTCTTTTTGGCCGAGATTTTTATCGAGACGAGAATAAAAAAAAAAAAAAAAAAAAAAAAAATTTAAAAACGCCTGCAGAAAGTCAATGCAATACCCGCAATACAGGAGCGTGTTGTAGTTGCGTTTCCTTTGCGAAGGCGTTCTTATTTAATTAATTCTATAAATGTAAATATTACTTTAATTATTTTAATAATATTACTTTAATAACATTTGAGAAGTTTAGTTAAGTGTATGCAGTGTGAGGAATGTTTTATTACTATAAAAAGTCAAAACAAGTAACTATTTTATAAAAATTAATATTGCTTTTATTTTATGATTTATTTTATTTTAGGATAAGTTGAACTCTATCCTAACTGATATCACTATGTTTCCTAATCGTAGGCATTTTTAATAAGTTAGGCGTGATTAATAAAAAAATGTTATGCTGATGTTTTTTAATAAAAGATTGTAAATATTCTTGCCTATTATCATTATTTTTGTATTTAAACAGTCATCTAACAATGTTACAAAATCAGGTAAAAACTTTGAACGTGCATTTCCCGTTGTGTATGAGAAGGGAAATCCCGTCTCGATCTCGTCTCGAAATTTTATGAGAAATAAAAAATCTCGTCTCGTCTCGTCTCGAACTAAAAATTCAATCTCGTCCATCCCTAATATATAGCTAGCAGAGTACCTGTCCTTCGTACGGGATTGGCATATAAGTATAAAATGCTTAGTACAGTTATACTCAAGCTTTGCGTGTGCAATGGGGGAGGACACAGTATAATAAAATTTGATTCTTTAAATTTACGGTATACTATAGTATTACACATCTACCATAGCCATTATGTTCTACTACTTCACCCAAACAATAAAAAAAAAATTATTAAAGATTCACAAAATATGACATATTATTCATGAAATTAAAAACATAAACATAACTGTAAAAAAACAGTTCTCATTGCGTTTCACAGTTTTTTTTGTTACTGCTTAGTTCAAATAGCTGGTTTCATAAATGAAAAAAATAATAATAAGTTGGTAAACCTTATAACTTTTAACACGTTCGCTGCGGGCCATCGAATGGCAGGCGTAGCCCCAGTGCGGCGCAGCCCGCAGCGTCGAACAAACCCGATTGCCGGGTGATTGGCTCTCATATTTCGGTATGACGAATAGCAAATAACATGCGGTGATGTCCTGTTTTATAACAAGAGTCGACGTAGTTCGCTAAACGCTCACAGATAGCAGCACTGCTTGGAACGGAGCCGGTCTTGTCGTATTGCCAATTGGAGGGAGAAAGACGGGACAACAAGTTGATTTTTAAGTTTGCCAGACGGGGATTTTATGGGGAAATTTTACTACCAACCTACAACACAATAAAAAGCAAGTCACCCACTACACGCTAACATGGAATAGGTCTGCCTTCGACCGACGCTAGAGCAAAAACGATGATATACGAAAGGCATTGCCGAGCGTATCCGATCGGTTACGGCAGCACCTGAACAGCGCACGGCCCGTATCCGATCGGATACACCCGCAGTGAACGTGTTAATGCTTTTGCATATTATAGAACCAAACTTTTTAGTCGAAACAGCTGACTAAATTCTTTAATTCCATTAAAATATGAATACTCATAACGTTAACATGGGAAACTCCAGAGCCACTGGGGCGGAGCCCGAAAGGATTTTTGAGATAAGAATATGCCTAAATGTTAATCGGGAATGTGAGCTATCATCATGCCAAATTTCTGCCCAATCCGTCGAGTAATTAATGCTTGATTGAACTTCAAACAAACAAACAAATAAACAAACAAACACACAAACTTTCACATTTATAATATTAGTAAGATATAGTGACAGCACACTACTAACACTTTTAAGAGGCAACAGTGCACAATAAACATAAACTGCAAAAATCGTATTACAAACATGAACAAAAAACATAGCCTGGAAACAATGTCAAAACTACTGACTGAGCATGTGCAGTGCAAGTAGTTTCAGGATTATCCACCATAATGCAGCAACAACTGGGTCTACACTATTCCAAGACACATTAGCAGCCAAATATAGCATCAATAACTTCCATACAGCTGATATTAAGTAAACAAAACAGCTCATAACGTCAAAAACGAGATAACTCGGGCATAGCATACACATCTCGAACACAAGTAATGCACGAGATATCTCGGTCGTGGCGCTTGCTTGTACAGAATTATTGCACGATATAATTATCTTGATCTTGGTTAATAGTACAGGTAAAATAGGGTTTTATAAACAACAAAATGTGTACATTCATGAAATTTCACCTGTGAGTTACTAATAATATGAGAAATGAAGATCCGATGAGTCCCCAAAATTTTGGGCGTCCTAAGGCCCTTTTTGGGGCCCTTTTTGATCCGAAGGGCCAATAATTTAGCCACTTCACTTTTTTCCTGAATAATTTTGTCTTTACGTTTAAGGTCGAGTGAGGTGTGGTTTTCGATGGTTTTAGTTATTTTAAATCGATTGGGATTAGTTTTAAGTCTATTAAACCACTCCATACAGGGTGTTTCAAAATATTATTAGGTACTTTTTACAATATTTAAACATTTACTCATAAAGTAATGAAATAAGTTACCTCCATGCTCTATATAAAAGGGGATTATTGAAAATAATTGTAATTCTTTACTAGGCAAGGGGAAAGGATCACAAGGAGTAAGAGAAAATATTAAATACCCCTTTCACAGCAAACATGAAGACCTAGCGAATTTCCGTTTTACTTACTTGATTTTCAATTAAATCTAAAATAGCATTGCGTTTAACGATTACCTAGGTTTGCTGCTACAAGGAGGCTAATAAAGTGTGTTTATAGTAAAATATTAATAGCCTAGTATAAAACAAATAAATTTGACAAGTTTGATCAAGATATATCTATTAACAAACAAACAAAATCATTTTACACTATTCTACATAAGAATAACATGGGAATTTTAAATTTACAAATTTAGTATTTTTATCCGTAACTAATAACCATACAAAAACACGTTAATATACTAAATTATTTGTTTTTAAGCTTTTTAAAATGTTCTAGAGAAAAATTGGGAAACTTTGTGTTTTGAGGGTGAAATAAATGAGAAAACCCAATTTTTACCCTATAAACCTCGTTCCCATTGTTCAGGACAAAAATGCTTGTACCCACAATGCTGCTCTGATGTCTTAGTGTTGTCCTGGTCGTCATAACTACGAAAGACAACGTACTTGTATTGATTGAAAATCATTTTGAGGAAATTAAGATACAAGCTGCAAACGTCAGTATGTATGAAGGGTGTTTTTGCACCACATTGTTCGTGCAGATTGGTATTGCCTGTTCTGCAATATGCAAGGTTTGTAAAGGGGAATCCTGCTTGAACACCAACTTGGACAAAATCAGTAAAGATGGACAAGTTGCTATGAATAATAAAATTGTTAATGAGTCGTCTGAGAATAATTATTGTAATGATAAAATTGTAAAGAGAGATAGTACGGAAATTGTGGAAAAATAGCTTTAGTTTAAGTACTTAATTTTAACATGTAATTTAAGGTTTTATACAAATACAATTGTTTTAATTTTTAATAAATGTAAAAAAAAAAACTTAAATAACTGCCTAAGAAAAATACATATCAATTTGAAATTGGTCTTCATCGATTTGCACGAAAAACAAATTGAAAGATTATTCACACCTTAAAAGTTGAAATTTTGCGTGGTAAACTATGTTATTATGTTATAGTGTAAAACTTAATCCATCCCCTCTTAGCGAATTTCCCATATAGGAAATAAGCTATTACCGAAGGTCTTATGGTAAAACATAGGCCCAAAACCAATTTACGTTTTCATTTCGATGCCCCCAGAAGCCTAAAGCACCCTTAGTGGGCTGCTGTTTAGAAGGTTGCTAGATAACTCAAAATATTATATATGTGTTTATATACATATATATAATATATCCATGTTATATACGTGTCCGTAAACATGATAACTCGAGTAATTTTGGTTCAATTTTAACGAAACCGGCATAATCGGTCCTTGGAACAGGGTTTTATGTGGTATAAATTTGTAATCTTTGACCCTCAAAACACAAAGTTTCCCAATTTTTCTCTAGAGCATTTAAAGAGCTTAAAGAAAATAAATAATTTAGTATATTAACGTGTTTTGTAAGTGTATTAGTTACGAATAAAATTCAAAAATTGTAAATTTAAAATTCCATGTTGTTCTTAAGCAGAATAGTGTAAAATATTTTTGTTTGTTTGTTTATAGATATGTCTTAAAAAAACTTGTCAAATTTATTTGATTTATACTAGGCTATTAATATTTTACTATAAACACACTTTATTAGCCTCCTTGTAGCAGCAAACCTAAGTATTCATTAAACTCAATGCTATTTTAGTTAATTGAAAATCGGGCAAATGAAAATTCGCTTAGTCTGCAGGTTTGCTGTGACGGGGGTATTTAATATTATCTCTTACTCCTTGTGATCCTTCCCTCTTATATAGTAAAGAATTACAGTTATTTTCAATAATCCCCTTTTATATAGAGCACGGAGGTAATTAACTAATTTTATTACTTTATGAATAAATGTTTAAATATCGTAAAAAGGAATAACATTTAGAGTGGTTTAATACACTTGAAACAAGTCCCAATCGATTTAAAATAACTAAAACCATCGAAAACCACACCTCACTCGACCTTAAACGTAAAAACAAAATTATTCACGAACAAGGGCCCTTCGGGTCAAAAAGGGCCCCAAAAAGGGCCTTAGGACGCCCAAAATTTTGGGGACTCATCGGATCTTCATTTCTCATATTATTAGTAACTCACGGGTGAAATTTCATGAATGTACAAATTTTGTTGTTTATATAGACTGTTTTTGTATTATTTTACCTGTACTATAAGGGGTTATAATAGCATACACACAATTCCCACCTCCTGTTTTCTCATTCTGTGAAGTAAATCACTGCTAGGATGATCAGGTGTACCATTCTGTTCCCAAACAGTTCTAGGATTTGTTTGCTCGTTGTCCAGCTGGTACACCACAAACTTAAAATCTGCAACAGTAGCCTATAACTTCAAAAACAAAATCTATATAAACAAAAATATAGTTGTTATGTCTGTGTGTAGAATTATAAAGTTTTTAGCTTTTTTACTTTTTACAGCTAAGAAAGCCTAAATGAGACTCATAAAAATGTCCTGTATCTACTTACCTTTGCTTAGAGGCAGTCTGCCTATTTTAATATCGAGTTTGTTTTCAGGACAGAATGTTTGATTAGAAGGTCCGAGGGACATCATGATGGCCGCACTCCAACCAGGTCCTATATCCACTCCATCACTGCCAGCCAGGACTGACAACCTGAACACGGAAATCTGTAATGTAGGGGTGATAGTGAACACAATCACTGGCCTAAATCCATACCAGCCAATGAGCAAAAACATTTCTTCCATTTATAACTATTAAAAGTGATTTACTTTTGTTACTGTGTAAAACAAAAGAGAAGCTTTCCAGCCACTTAGTTACAATAGTTATTTGTGTAACTAGTGGACAAAGTGGCACTTTGCTGCACACGAGAGCAATGTTTAGCAATGTTTGTGTGATATGGAATGATCTCGAGTGCAGCAAAGGCCTTTTGCACTCGTGTTACACATTATATTTTTCCTTTACAGTCACTATAAAGCATATAAATAATTAGACTTTCAAACACTATACAACACGTTTTTAGGTTCAGCTGGCAACACAAATAGGTGCCCTAGAGAAAGTAGTACCCGGTCCGTATCACTCCGCTATTTTTCCTCGGCAAGAAATGTGCTCCTCGACTTGAGAATATAGTTCCGTATGTTTTTGTAATTTGAAGTGGTTTCCGTGCCTAAAAAAAATGCTTTAAAGGTATTTTCTTGTTTATTAAGATCGTAGGAATATTTTAAAAACGTTTAAAAGAAAAGACCAGAAAGTTCAGAAATACCGAAACTATAAACACAAAATGACAGGTTAAATCGTAGTTATAATAGTCAATCAGCTGCTCATAGTATTATTATCTTTAAATGTTGCCGACCTATTTCCAAGCGTACACGGATTACGTGCATAATAGAACCATGCTGTTTTGTGTTGTTTCGTTGGAATCCTGATGTGCGCCAAAGTATAAACCGTACGACAAAGTATAAATATGCAGCAATTAGCAGCTTTCTGTACTATAAACAGTACAAGGAAGCCAACTTTGTCGGGTGACTGTAGGAAATGAGGTCCAAATGAGAAAAAAGTCTCAATACTAGCCAATTGTGATTCCTAAAGTGAACAAGAACAACGAGGTATTGTGGTCCTTAAATATTGTCAAAAATGTTCCTAGAGACAGTTAGTTAATAACAATTTTTCAGGTTCCATGATTTTAAGAACAAAGTCCAAAGTATTCAGATGAAACAAAATATTTTATTTAAAAATGGTACACTAAATTGTGTCTCAATATCTTGTGTATTTTGCTAACAAAGTGTAAATCTGCATGGATAAATTAAAACAGTGAATCAATCAAAAATTCAAAAGTCAACTAACTTAAAAGTTCATGGTGTATAAAAGGAGAGTCTTTGTCAGAATTGAAAAAAGACCAATGGTGTAGACTGTAGATATCGAAAAAAAAAACCTACCTAGAGTTACAAGGATGATTACCCAGGTGTCTCAAGAAAACTGGCAACTCTTTTGGCCCAAGATAGCTCAGTAGGGCCATTGTAATCATGACTGGTTTACGAACAAATTGGCTGAGAGACCCTTTGGGACCATTGTACTGAAATCTGAAAGCAATCCAGACAATCAATATGAGTGTATCAATATGTTAGATCAAATCACAATTCAAAAATCCAAATCCAAGCTATCATAAAATTCCACTTTTTAACATATTGACTGCTGAAAGTACCTACTATAATTGTATACCAAATCTGCTACCTACATACACATAATGAAACAATCACAAATTCCGTAATAGTCGACAGATCGGGACGCGGTGAACAGTCAATGAAATGTTGGGATTTGGGAACTGCCCTACGTGCACAAGTGATATGAACCTCATGGTAAATGCTGAGTTCACACTGAAGCAATGAAGTACAAAAGTTGGGTAGGGGCGCGGATCTGCGCCTCACAAAACTAAACTAAATCGTTTTATATTACCTGTCATCAGTTACAAATTGTATATACAACAATAATAGCTTGTTGTATAGTCTACATCAAGCTGTTCATGTTTCCGTGAGCTGTCATTTTCAACAAACACTATACAGTCCAGAACAGAAATAAACATTAAATCCACTTAGATAGCTTTGTTGATGGTTTGAACAAACATAATTGTATACTTTATTTTGATAGGCCTATCATGGTGTGGAACATTGCCATTTGAATTGTCTTCGTTATCAGGGGTCAGCTGATCAGATAAGTTTCCTTGTTGTAGTAGGGTTTCAAAAATAGTATTAGATTAAACTGGACTTTGTCATTGAGTATATGGCTATTGTAATCTGATTTTTTTATTGATTTATAAATTTTAAACTTCTACAAGATGTCCATTTTTTACTTAGTTTTTTCTACTTAGGAAAGTACTGAACCAAAACTATTTTCGCTTTAATACATTGAGTGCCATGCCGGTCCAATAGGGTTGCCAAAGGTAGGTAGGGCGGAGTAACATGCGGACCCAATCGGGCCGGTGCCTAGGGTCGTGCGGTGAAAAATCGCCGATAGAGTTCAGTGGTGGACTACTAGTGGCAACCTGCCGATTTAAATCGACCAAGTACATCAAGATTCAAGATTCAAGATTCAAAGAGTCTTTATTCACACAGTACAAATTTTCGTACATGAATAGTGTCTATTGTCTATTGTTACTTACTACCTAAATTAGCAATAAGAAACATTTAAATAAAATACTATAGGCTACATTATTTTAAATTGAAATTACTAAAATCTTCTATTTTGTAAGGTGCAAGGTCAAGTAAGAATGCCTTCAGATTTTTCATAAATTTAGATTTGTCTTTTTCTTTTTTTAAAAAGCTAGGAAGTTTTCTAAAAAAATAGTTTCCAATATAAGAAGGTTTATTTTTAAAAAGTTCAAGTCTTGGTTTTTCTTTAGCTAAATAATTTTTACCCCTTGTATTATAATTATGCACAGGCAATTCTTGAGTCTCAGCAATATTTAAAAAATATTTAATTGTTTCAAAAATATATAAGGCGTGAACTGTAAAAATGCCCATCCCTTTAAAATAAGATTTGACGGACTGGTTGTATTTTAATTTATGTATTATCCTGATAGCTTTTTTTTGTATTTTCAAAATCTTTTTTAAATTCTTTTTCTTTGTCCCACCATAAATACTAATTCCATAGTTAATATGTGATTCAATATGAGCATGATATATCATTTTAAGTACTGATCCTTCACAGAGATATGACATTGTTCTTAGGACGAATATACAAGAATTTAGTTTTTTTATTAAATACTCGACATGTTTATTCCAGCTTAAATCCTCATCTATTATCAAACCCAATAGTTTTGAGGTTTTAACTTGAGCAATGGAATTTGTATCTATATCTAACTTAATACTTTGATCATTTTTGTCTCTTTTTGTTTTGAAAAGAATGAAATTAGTTTTACTAGTATTAAGTACTAAATTATGGTCTTTTAAAAACTGATTCAGACTTTTTAATTCTGATTTAGCAGACATTTCTAAATCAGTTAGGGATTTCCCAGTTGTGTTAAGATTAATATCATCTGCATATATACTTATCTTACTACCTGGGTCTTTTAGAGAATTTGGAAGATTTTTAAGGTAACATATGAATAAAAGAGGACCAAGAATCGATCCCTGTGGGACACCAGATGATATCTTTGATAAATTAGATCTTGTTTTTTGGATGATGTTATTTTTTGACAAAGTTGATATTTCCACAAATTGGTAACGTTCCTCTAAGTATGATTTAAACCATTTGAGAGTGACTCCTTTAATTCCCAAATTATCAAGTTTAGCTATTAATTGATGGTGGTCTACATTATCAAATGCCTGGGACATGTCCATGAAGATGCCAGCTGAATTTAAACCCTTATCTAGTGAATTTATCACGGCTTCAACAAAATTAACCGCTGATGTAACTGTTGATCTACCAGCACGGAAACCATGTTGTTCATTATCAATTAGATCATATTGGTTCAAGAAACTGTTCAACCTATTGTACACTGCCTTCTCATATACCTTTGATATTGCCGGGAGAATTGACACTGGCCTGTAGTTTGAAATATCTTTCTTAGAGTTTTTCTTATAAACAGGTACCACTCTAGCAATTTTAAGCTCATTTGGAAAAATTCCTGTTACAAATGATGAGTTAATTAGGTGCATTAAAATTAATTTAATCTCATCTTTCACCTCTTTTAACATTTTTACTGATAAATTGTCATAGCCAGATGTTGTTTTATTTTTTAAAGATTGTATAATAGTTATTATTTCGGTATCAGTTAATGGTTCGAAATACAATTTTGTATGCCATATATTTTTTGAAGAGGTGTCTGATGTAGTATTACAAAATTTTGTATGTAACGTAGAGGATTTTGTAAAAAATGAGTTAAAATTATTTGTTATTTCTTATACCTCACATCCTATACCTCACAGATGCTGTTACTACATGCTCTGATCCTCTCCCAGACTATTGCATATAGTTGTATATGTAAAGTTGCCCTAAAAACGGTGACCCGCTCGGGTCGGCGTGGTTTAACTAACTTCATATTACCGTTATACATTTTATTTAAAATATTACTTTAAATGGACTGCAAATACATAAATTAGAAATTTGAGATAAATATTGAGTGTTAGTGAGGAATGAATGCCATTTTTCTGCGAGGTTAGTGGGCAGTGGATCATCCCAGGATAAGCCTGTAGTCCATTGTAACTGCATGATGCTTGCAACAAAAATTTTGCTTGCATGATGCAGGGAGCGAGAAATCCACAAAGATCATAGAATTTTTATATGATGCTCAATATCAAGCGTTTTGATGGATGAAGGTCCGGAGGGAAGTTAAGGTTGTAAGTGGAGCAGTCAGAGTGGGGAGACCAATGTAGGCCTAGTATTGTGAAGTGTGGCTGTTCAGAATCTTGGATGAAGACGGGAGACTCAAGATGTTCTTTTGGGAAAGCTTGTAGAAGACGATAGGAGTTGGAGACCCATTTACGTAATTTGAATCCTCCTCGTCGCAACAAGTTGACCATTTGATCTTGAAGTTTCAAGGCCGTTTCCTCAGTATCTGCACCAGTGATGATTTCGTCAACGTAGGTCTTCGTTCTTAGTACTTGCGCTGCCTAGGGAAAGTAGTCACCATCGTCGTCAGCGACTTCGTGAAGAGTATTTATTGCCAGGTAAGGAGAGCTATTCATACCATGTGTCACGGTGTTCAGCTGGTGAGTAGAGAGTGGTTGAGAGGAAGATTCACGCCAAAGGATGAGTTGCAATTTTTATCGTCAGGATGTATTTGGATCTGTCGATACATTTGACGAATGTGACACGAAAAAACAATATTGTGTCTTTTAAAATACATAAATATGTCACAAATATTGGATTGGAGCTTGCGCTTGTGTCCAGTAAGCAGAATGTCATTGAGAAAAACCCCTGTGATTGTTATTGCTCTATCAACAAATATTGTTCGGAGTTTGGTTGTACTACCGTACTACTACTCTCTTTAAGAACCCCATGGTGAGGGAAAAAGTAGTGCAAAGAGGGAATAGGGGAATTTTGACATATGGTCTTATGGTCCAGAGAGATATAATCCTCTATGAAGTCGTGGTAAAGCTGAGAGAAGCGGGGTTGGACAGTGAATTTTCGCTCGAGAGAGTGGAATCTGAACACAAGCAATTGAAATGCTCCAAGAGGGAGGTGAGCTTCCTTGAAGGGAAGACAAACGATTTATCGTCCTTCAGAGTCTCTGCTGTGCGTGGACTGGAAGTTTACGTCACAGAGTTCTTCTTCTTCAGTTTTCTTTCGACAATTTGGAAGTTCTTCCTGAAATCAGAATCGCTGAAGTGCGGAATGAAGGTCAACATTGTTGGATGAATGGAAGGAGACGGAGTAACTGATGAAGTTTGTAGATTACGGTGTGGAATTTTATTGTATTTCACAGGATGCAGAACCCATCACAATGTATCCAAAATAAGTACCTATTACAAAGGCCGAGAGAGTTGTGTTCATGAGTTAGTAACTTAGGGAAGAGAGAGCAACCAAGCACGATATCAATGCGTCCTGGCAGGTGAAATGCTGGATCAGCTAGACAAAAACGTTTAGTAAGCGATATCACTTCCAGAGAGACCGGAAAACGAGGTAAGTCGACAGTCAATTTGTCTAAAATGAATACTTACTTACAATGATTGATCAACATTTTGGCAAGACTTGTTTACAACATTCCCACTCAAAATTTAGGTTATTTTTTGTAGCCCTAGCTATTTTTTGTAGAGCAATGAGTTATCTTCAGGGAGAGGTTCTTTGCCAGCCGATTTAATGAGTGGTGTTTTTTTTTTTTATTTCTTATCAAAACTTATCTATATTTATAAAAGGGGAAGTTTGTATATATATATTTGAACGTTATGGACTCCAAACTGCTTGACAGATTATCATGAATCTTTCAGGCAATATTAAGCATTATTCAAAGATGAAGTTTGGTGCAGATCAGTCAAAAGGGCTCCGCCCCAGTGGCTCTGGAGTTTCCCATGTTAACCTTATGAGTACTCATATTAAAAATATTAGAAATACTATAGTGTAATCGTTTTTATTCTGCAAAATA